CAGACTCTTTTTTTATGTTGTCCTATACATGTAATTTCTGTCTAAGAACATTTTCAGGGCCTCAGGTTCCTGTTTGATGACAAATCATGACAAATTTTTCCTTATTCCCATTTCCCAGGCCATTCATGCTCTCCAAACCTCTCTCATCTGTCTCCCATTTGATTTCTAGTTTGAGGAACCCCATTCAGTCTTTGTATAAAAGCTGCTCTGTACTTTTAGTCTTTCGCTCTGCCCTTCTTTCTTTCATTTCAAATGGTGCAGCTTGGTATTTGAGATCAGAATGAGATCAAATATTTCTAGACTGATGTGGCCATGGCTTTAGACAGGGAGGGGATGACGGTTTTCATGGTGTTGATTTTCTAGTGGTTTGTCATATTGAGTGTTGTAGAGCATTGTGTCTTGTTTCCTCACCTTTGCCCCCTTCTGCCGTGGGCTTCACTTCCCTTGCTCCCCTGGACCTCCCTTTCTTCACACCTGCCCCCAGGAATCTTTGCTTGTCAGCAGCAAGGCACTGGGAGAGGTGGGAGTCTTGTGGGGTGCCTTCAGGAGAGCCTGGGCTGTGACTGAGTGGGGTTCCTTAGAGTCACCTGAAGGAATTTGGTGTAGAATTACCTGTGATCTGAGTGGGTCACCTGAGCACACCTGACAAATCTCACTGTAAATACTGTCACCTCGGGGCAAATCTCTACAAACACACCCAGAAATAAGGTGCTTAAGGTGGTGTCCGTGATATCCTCACACTGAACACACGGAGGTGTTGGGATTTGATCAATGTACTGATCCGTGGAATTACTTACCCAGCTAAAAGCTGGTCACTTTCTTCCATTTCCTGTGGTTTGCTCTGTTCCTTGTAATTCCATCAGTGGTGAGCTGAGCAAAGATTCCTCTTTGCTTTGTTCCAGGTCAAGATACCCACACCAGACTTGTTGGAGAATCTGTGGACCTCAACATCGGGCTGGGCAACTATTCTTTGAAATTTGACAAGGCTTATCTCACACTGTCAAGCCACAAAACCATGGTCATCCACAACAGAAGTGACATCACAGCCCAATTCCAATGGAAGGCTTTTGCTACTGAGGGAGAGGAGTATCACCAGAAGATCAGGTTGGTCTGAAAGATGCAGGGACATACACTGCCCAAGGGTAAAACTGACATATGGCCTCAGGGGGTGCTTGTGCTTTTGAGTGGTTGAGGGTATCAGGAACAAGTAGGAGTTCCTGCAAAGTCTGCAGGGCAGTCACAGCTCACAGTAAGAAGCGACAAAGTTGCTGGGTGTTCAGCTGTCAGTTCCAGAGAGGTGCAGTTTGCCCAGAGACAGGGGGACCAACCAGCAGCACGGGAGGATCGTGGGGCCATGTCCTCCATTCTGAAATGCTGTGGCCTCCACCTTGAACAATGTCAGTGACCTTGGAAGCAACTGTTCCTTTCCTTTGTTCTTGTGATCTTAAAACACTAGAATGATTTCTGCTGCAGCTACCAAGCAATGGAGAGGTTAAGTGTGCCAAAGGTCTGCAGAGAAGGCCAAAAGGAGGAAGAAAGGAAGGTGGTTCAAGGCTAGATGTTCCCCTCTCAGGGCCTCTGTTTTCATGCATGTAACACCTTTAATGTCACTGAAGAGATGCCATGCCTGAATTCATCAGCTGGCTTTGAAAGTGCTCTGGGTTGCTCTGGTGGAAGGCAGTGTAGGGAACAGGGCAGACAGGGTTAGCTTGTCCCTGCAGGTGCAAAAGGGAAGAAGCAAAGAGTGCTGCTGGTAACCTGCAGCTGACAGCCAGCTTCTCCTCCCCTTCCAAGGGAAACCCTGCAGGCAGTGGGGGGGCTCCCTGATCTGTACCTGCCTCCCCCCAGCAGCTCTGTGGTGGCAAGAGTCAGTTGAGGTCACTGGTGGGTTGTCCCTCAGTTTTGGCAGTGGCTTTGAGCCAGGAGGTTCTCCTGAGGGCTGCTGGCTTTCAAAACCTCTCCTGAGCTTATAAGTGTGGAGGAAAACCACCTGCCCTGCGAGCGAACAACAAGTGATCCTCTGAGCCCTTTGGGACTCCATGGCTCGGGCTCAGCCCCTTGCTGGGGAGCTGCTGCTGCTCCTCCCCGAGCGCTTTGCTGCTTCTGCACTTACACTCAGCCCTGCAAAGAAGTGGCTTATTAAATGACCTGCTGCATTTGTTTCTCCCTGTGGCTGCAGGCTGTCTCACAGCCTGTCCCGGCCGCCCCAGGACATAGCGAAGGATTTGATGATGGAACGCCATGAGGAGGTTCGCCTTTACTACCGCGAGCTCGAGAATGAGACAGCAAAGATTCAAGCAGACCCCCTGCTGTTCTCAGACGACGTTTTCACCATTGAGCCCTTGGTAAGTGATAGCTGAGAACCTCCTCCTCCTCCCCACCTCAGCTGGCTTGATGTGCCCAGAGGGAAGACCTCGGGTTTCTGGTGAGGCTGCAGGGCTTGTTGCAAAAAGTATTGCTTCCCTGTGGGCTCCTGGCAGGCAGCAGGAACCTGCCTAAAGCTGAGCTCTGCTGCGAGGGCTCGACGTCAAGGGACCTTGGTGCGTGTCCTTGCTGTGTCCAGAGGGATTGGTTACTGCAGGAAGGGGCCCAGCTTACACGGGATGTGTGGGGTTTACCAGAGGTGTTGAAGCACTGTCAGTTCCCAGATTGACCTGAAGTGAAAAGAAGGCCAAATTCAGCCCAAGGTCATGGAAATGCCAGTCCCTCCCTGTAACCAGGACTTAGAGCATGTCTGAGTCTCCCTTCCGGTGTCATCTGGGAGCCTGGACACAAGACCTTGAAATGGACTTTTGGAGTTCTATTGCACACAGGGACAGAAAATCTTTTTCTGTTAATGCAAGCAAACTCCCATGTCCTTCCATCAACCAGAGCCCTGATTATGAGTATTGGCACAGTGTGAGATGAAGAATCCCTGCTGTCTGCGCAGTGTAAAATCTCCTCATCTTGCAGTAAACCCTACAATAATCCCAGCCTCTGCTTTCTTTTAAAACAAGTTAAACTAAGTTTTTTCTTTCCAAGGAAGGGGATCATGTTCTCTTCTTGGTTATATCTATAGCCCCTACTAAAGCCAAGAGCTTTCCTCAGTTTCCTCAGACTCCTTGTGTTGTTCACTTCTTGCTCTAAGTAAAGGCTTACAGGTTGAAAAGGAGAAGTGTGATATTGGAAGGTAAATGGTTTGCTGCTTTTTTCTGTTTTAGGAGGGAGAGGTTGGTCCGCACAGTTCAGCGGAAATCAAGGTGTTCTTTAAACCCCGTGAAGCCCTAGTCTATGAAAGACTGGCCTACTGTGCCATCGCAGGTACGGCTCCTTCTCGTCTTTCTCTCACCCACAGGGAGGGGGAGGTGCAAGTACTCTTGCAGCCCACTGGGCTCCCGTGTAAGTGCTGGGAAGGGTCCGTGGTCAGCAGGACAGTGCTGGCTCATGTGCACTGTGGCTTCCAGGTGGCCTCCCATGCAAGGCCAGGGCTCAGGACACTGATCCCAGAACAATCCAAGCAGTGCATGGATAAGCTTTCATGCCATGGGCTTGCCAGCATTTGCTCAAAGGCCAAAGAGCTGCACAGCAGAGCAGCTTTAGGGAACAAGCACTAAGTCCCTCTAGACCACTGACTTCCAGGATGGGTCCTCATTACATGGATCCATCGGCAGGCGGTAGGAGCTGAGGTAGAAATGTGCTCCCTGAGCCCAGGTCACCTCCCACTGCCCAGACACCATCAGACCAGAGGTGGCTGAGCCCTGCTGAGCCCAGGCTGTCGGCAGAAGGACCACCCCTGGCCAGCACCTGCTTCTCTCCTTGTGTGTGGGCTCTGCTGTGCCCACACAGGGAAGGGAACACTCGCAGAGCACAGCATGGTTCAGGTTCCCCTGTCCCTCCTCTCTGTCTCTGCACGGTGCTGCTTAGTGGTTTTCACCTTTAAGTGGGAGATGGCTGTCAGGGTTCCATCCAGGGAATACTCCGGGTTTGCCCATCTACGAGAAAGAGGTGGGAGGCCCATGGTCCTCCAGCAGCCAGGCTCCCGTTCTGGAGGGTGCTGCAATCCCTAACCCAGCCACTCTGTTGCCTTCCTTCCTACTCCAAGCTGATGGATACAAATGTCAAGAAACAGCTTTTTATTTAGACAGTAATTGTGCAGGGTTTACTCAACAAATGCCATCTACAGTAATTACTCAGGGCTCATGCTAACAAACTCTCTTCCTGCCCACCAACTGCCGTTGTTAGAGCTGTGGAAGGAAAGCACAGATTGCTCCCAAGGCATTCCTTGTGATGTCCTGCATCACGTGAAACTGTGCATCTCTGTTTGTTGACATGGTCAGATGAGAATCATGTTCCAAGACAGTCACCAAACACGGGGGGACATTCTGTGAACATGATGCTGAGTGTCAGAAAGCAGCAGAAGATTTTGTCAACAAAGTCCTGTACTGTCGGGCCACTGCACCCCTCCTAGTTAGAAGCCAGGCAGCAATGCCCAGCTCTTTGTGAGCTTTGTCCCTTCACTGAATGGATTTCAAAGCTCCTTCAAGTGCATGGGAAGGAAATCATAGAATTGCTAAGGGGTTGGAATGGCCCTTAAAGATCATCTGGTCCCAAACACCCCTGCCATGGGCAGGACACCTTCTGCTAGCCCAGGTTGCTCAGAGCCCAGTCCAACCTGGCCTTGGACACTGCCAGGGATGGGGCAGCCACAGCCTCCCTGGGCAACCTGTGCCAGGGTCTCACCACTCTGACAAGGAAGAATTTCTTTTGTATATCTAACCTAAATTTCCTCTCTTCCAATTTGTATCCATTACTCCTTGTCCTATCACTACAGAAATTGTGTGTTAAACTCGGCATTGCTTTTTCAGGGTGCAAACCGGTGGCTAAATGGGAAACAAGCCCAAGGGGTGGGTTAGAAATCAGAAGCCAGCCCCAAGGCATATCTCCTGAGGGAAGAGAAGGGTCCATCTCTTCCCCTGGAGCATCAGGAGCTGGTCTCACCCACCTCAGAGTCAGAAACTAGCACTGAGGCAGCCTGGAAAAAGCAGGATAAGGGAGTAAGAATTACTGTACTGAAACGGAAATCTCTCCCCAGGCCGTGAGAGCAGGCTGCCCCTGCGCCTCACAGGGGAAGGCCTCGGACCCTGCCTCCAACTCAACTTTGAGGAAATAAACATGGGGAAACTTTTTGTTGGAGAAGCCTACAGCTATGAGGTGAGCAGCAGGGCTGGGGTGGATCCGGATGGCTCCTGGGGCAGCAGGGAGCCTGGTGGACCTGTGGAATTTCTGGCAACTTGGGCAATTGCGAGCGAGGAATATTTGACATGCTAGTCAACTCAGTGGGGTTTCACAGAATCTGGAACCTTTTATGGGGTCTGAAAGGTGTTGTCTGTTGTTCATGAAGTCCCAGTTCCTGCTTTTTGGCAACCTCCCTTGGAGATCGGCTGGGGTGTTTTTTGCAAAAGACCCCCTCAACACATGAAAGCAACACTGAGTCAAAAAGCTGAAGTGTTCAGAGGCTTCTGTTGCAGCCTCAGACTCAAGGCACCTTTGTGCTCAGGCTGTCCAAGAGCAGCTGGAACAAACTGGCTGCAAGAGTCCACTGCAAGAGAGAGCAACTGAAAAAAGTAGAAAATGAGGCACTACATCATGCCAGACGCTTTCAAAAGCTTTGCCGTGGCAGGGAAGGACACACTGAGTTGTCTTCTTACCAAAAGATTGTGCTCTCTCTGCATTTTTGATGCTGATACCTTATTGTTTCTCACTATCAATTTACTACTGTCATTACATGAGAAAGGGTGAATGAGTAGATACTGTTAGTGCTGTCCTAAGCAGCTACACCGCAGGTAAACCTCAGCTCAGCATGGGATCCCTAAGTGCAGCTTGTAACACAGGTAACACACATGAGAGGAGAGTGGTTTTCAAGTTTCAAGGCAGAGGTTGAATATGGGAATGTTTCCAACAGCAGCCGCAAAACTACAAAATGAGGGACATCCCTCTGCTCCTGCCTCAACTGTTCTGACAGGTTTTGCCAGGCTAACAATTAGGGAAAGAATTCCAAAGCAGATGGATAAGTCCATGGCAATGCCAGGGTTTCCTACAGCTGTGTAGAGCTGTGAGAGAGTAACTTCTTTAGAATAGGTGGAGCTGCTTTGCACCTCACCCTCGTCCTTTCTTGACATGTCTCGCTGAGCAAGGTCTAAGAAACTATCAGATTAAAGAAACAAGACAATAACCCCAAATTATCTACCCTAGCAGAGCTGGGGAGAGCTTCTGAAGTTGGTGATAGCACCGTTCTGAGGTGTCTTCCACATGCAATAAACTGGTTGGCTGCCATGGAAGCCTTGGCAGGGTCAGGCAGCCCTGGAGCAGCAGCAGCAGCAGCTCTGTGGGGATTCACTACGTGGCTGCAACTGCCCCACGTTGCTCCTAAGGCTGGGTCTGAACGAACTTGGCGATGCTGACCAGGAGTGGACCGCTCCGTGTCCCTGGGATAACCTCTGAGTGACTCTGGTTATGTGAAGTTATCCCTGCTTTGCATGAAAACCCAAAGGCAGAACTTGTCCTGTTGTACTTTTTTGCCTTCTGCCACGTAGCAGCTCACGGCATCTTCTGCCTTTCCGGGGTGAATCGTTTCTTAGTAAGCATCTCAGGCTTCTGTAAGAAAGGAAGGTTGCTCATGTATGTCCATTTTGCTTTCTTGCTGCTGCAGCTACTCCTGGTTAACAAAGGAGCTATTGACGCTCCCTTCGAGCTCATCCCTTCAACCACAGCCCAGGGCTCCTGCTTCACCTTTCTGCCCCGGCAGGGCATCATTCCACCAAATGGGCTCCAGCCCATCCAGATCTCCTTCAGTTCCACCACCCTGGGGGAGTTCTATGAAGAATTCCATTTTAATGTGACTGCATCCCCTAAGCCTGTGACCTTGACTATCAGGTGAGGAGGGCTCTGGGAGCTTGGTGGGCACGTCTGTAGCTGTCTTTGGGTAATCCTCTCCCACCTACTTCATTCAGTGGTGGAGCAGAGAAAAAAGGTGTTGCCTTAGGTCTTAGTCTTGCCTCTGATGCTGGCATTCCCTCAGTGTGGGGATGCCTTCTGCCCAGTGCAGGTACTCATATGGGGAGGTCCCATATGATTGGAAGTTGGCAAATATCACCCCAATCCATAAAAAAGGCTGCAAGGCTGACCCTAGTAACTACAGGCCTGTCAGCCTGACCTCGGTGCCTGGCAGAGTTATGGAGTAGATCATCCTGTGGGCAATCACACAGCAGCTACAGGATGGACAAGGGATCAGACCCAGCCAACATGGGTTTAGGAAGGGCAGATCCTGTTTGACCAACCTGATCTCCTTTTACGATCAGGTGACCCAGCTGGTGGATGAGGGAAAAGCTGTGGATGTGGTCTATCTGGACTTCAGCAAAGCCTTTGACACTGTCTCCCATAATATACTCCTGGAAAAGCTGCAGCCCATGGCTTGGAC